CTTGTCCCCAATGTGAATATATATAGCGTGTTCATTCATTTTCAACTTCTTGAACCAAGTGTTGTGTTGATTTTATTACTATTTGATTTCCATCAATGTACAGTCGCATAGCTTTTATGGTCAACAGCACTCAATCCTAATGTACCAGTGATGCACGAAGGGAATGAACACGTATACTCTTCAATGTCAAAGTAATACTATCCCAGCGTTTCCAAGTTTAGACTACAGTTATCAGAATAAAAGCAACAACATACTTCACAAAAAGCAATAGTTATTCAATCTTGACGTTTAATATAAGGGGTGTAACCAATAAATGAATGCCCGGTGAGAAGCATCCTATATTAAACATCCATCAAGAATAATGTCTTACAATTTGATGGTACACTGAGACAGTGATCCTTTCAAACTTTCATCCATTGACCCACAAGGCCTTTCAAGATATTAATGTTGACTTTATCTTAATATATCACTTTTACTTTGTTATAACACACATTTCATAAAGCCTTTCCTGCAAAAAGCAACTGGATGATCTTTAGCACGGCTAAGTACCCAAACCCACCTACTATTGACTTTGGCTCACGTAAAGACCTAACTCCACAGGAAAGCACTAAATGGCTAGGCGTCACGCTAGATAGCCAACTCAAATTCTCGCAACATCGACGTGATGTCATCACCAAAGGAAAACAACGCTCAGGCTTCATTGCATCCCTTGCGAAGTCTGAGTGGGGCATCCCTCCTCACCTGATGCGCACACTTCTATCAGCAACGGTACACGCGGCAACCGATTACGGTCTAGCATCATGGCTTCCGCTCGACCCACCGGGGTACTTCCTGGACCACCTTGCATCCATCGACAACACATGTGCGCGAACAGCACTTGGAGCACTTCAGTCAACACCCAAAATCTTCCTCCTACACGATATGAACCTCACGAGGCCGGAAACCCGCTTAAAAGCTAAGGTGATGTCTTTCATTGCCAGATCTCTGTCAAAACCGAGCCATCACCCCCTGTTCTCTATTGTCCAACAGGCTCAGTCCTCGAAGCCAAGAACTCACCGTAATATCTTTCACCAATTCTTCCAACATCAGTTGGGTAAAGAATTCGAGGACTTCACCACTCAGCTCCCAATTGACCCGTCCGCTACGCTAATCAAACCACCGAACTTCTCAACTATCATCCAAGAAGACGAAGAGGCAGCCATCATGGGCACAAATCTCTTACGTTATTCCCACCATCATCTGATCATATTCTCCGACGGCTCACGGATTCCATCAAAGAACACAGCCGCAGCTGCGTGGTGTCAAAACACAAATAAACCAACTGCACAACATCTAGGTAAAGCACGCCTACATGGGATTTATCAAGCTGAGTACAAAGGTGTACAAATTGGCCTCAAGATAGCTCTGCAATCGGCAACCTCACACACTCGACGTATCTCCATAATACTCGACAATCAATCCGTGATTAAAGATTTACGCAACTGCCCTATGAACATCGCCTCCCTACCGGACAGAAAGGAAGCTTTCAAGCTTCTCAACTACTTAGAACTCGCCTTCCCAGCAGCAAGAATAACAATACGCTGGTGCCCAGGTCACTGTGGCATCAGAGGTAATGAAACTGTTGACAAGATAGCTAACACCCTGGCCAAACGCGACCTGCCAAACACCTTCTCTTCCACACCATCTCTCGCAGGGTTCACCACAGCTATCAACGCGTGGTCCAAGCTTGACGAGAATAACTTTTCGACCCTCGACATCAAACGTCTCGGTCACAAACCAACACCAGCCAAGCACATCAAGGCGCTCAGCAACCTCCTCAAACACGAGTGCGCTACCATAACGCAGCTAAGATCAAACCACATTTACCTCAACCAATATCTATTTAAACACCAGCAGCGTTTTGATCCCTTGTGCGATTGCCAAGAAGGGATTGAAACCATTGATCATTTCTTATTTATCTGCCATAGATTTAACCAACCTCGAGCCAAGCTTGCAGCAGCGCTCAACGAACTTCAAGTCTCTGAAAACACAGACATCCTCAACAACCCGAAAACCTTCAAACATGTCACCGAGTATTGCAACTCAACCTGGCGGTTGAAGAACCGCTGGATTTGGGCCAAGATATCCGGAGAAACAATACCTCAAGATAATCACGTCTTAACAATCCCTCCCCATTAATCACCCCATCCTTTAGCGCCACTACATGTACCCCAAAGACACTTGTAATACTTTAAACAGCCAGCACGCGTCCTTTTCCCCACAGGGGTTTTTACCGGAGCGGAGCACGAGTAGTCATAGTGTCTGATAGCCTACGGCTCAGGAGACACTTAAAACAATGCAATAAAAAAAAAAAAAAAAAAAATCATTAAAATGAAAACACTACACAACACTCAAAAATGAAATTCATTACACTACACTAATAAAACTAATCAAACACACTACAAACTTGAAATTCACTACACAACATCATTAAAATAAAAACACTACACAACACTCAAAAATGAAATTCATTACACTACACTACTCAAATAAGTCAATTTGACATTTACCACACCACCCTATGAAAATAACTACACCTCACTACACTTTTGACCAAAAAAAAAAAGTTATCAATTTTCCGAAAATTGCAGGATAGTTGCTCCTCATATGCCTTACTCCATATATGTTCACGGTTTATCTGTAGCATCACTGGTACTTGAGTTATTGAGCGCGCAAAAAGCAAATCCCAAGTAAAATTTTTTGTTTTGCTCATAGCTTCAAATCTTGTTTATGAACTTTGAATTTTCAATGATTTTCTAAACTCTCCACATCATTGGGCATCTTTTCATACCCTACAAGTCTGGTTTATCTTAACTCGTTCTATGTGTAATAAAAAGTTGGTTGTTCATCGATATTTGATGCGTTAAGCGTTTGCATGTTTTTACAAAGTTAGAGTAGCGATTTGAATTTGATAACAATGTAAAACATATTTGACACCTTTAGACCTTATTCTGATTGTAGTTTCAAGGAATGGTTGTATAAAAAAAGATATTTAACTAAGTTGTTGTCCTATGATGCAAAAAAAACATATACCTGGGGCACCAGAGTATTCACACGTGGTCCCCCACCGCACTACTGACTCGGCCCTACAATGTTTGACTGCGCAGATCAGACGGGATGCGGTAAATTCATTGTGGTATGGCCCCAGATAACAGTCTTTACTATTTATTGGATTGATAGATATCTTAAAATTCATTATTGCACACTTAGACTATATTATTACACATTTATTAAGAACGCCCTTATAATCATGTTAAGACTTTACCTATTTTACTGTACCCTTATATGGAAAGACTTGTATTTATTCAGACCCTTATATTTAATCAAACCCTTATATTTACCCAAATAATCATGAAGAGACACCCTTATATTATATGAATATATAATTAAATACAATAGTCTAATATGTACTCAAACCCTTATATTTAAGTCTATCATCATATGATATAAGAACACACCCTTGTGATTAGTTGTGCGCATTGATACCTTTATATTTCAAAACCAACACCTTATAATGAATTATTAGACCCTTATAATTGATTAATTACACACACTCATATGTGGTACCCTTATATTACAATAACCCTTATAACTAAATGCGCACTCTTACATTTAATACCCTTATATGTTATTACCAACACCCTTATATTTAATTATATATAATACCCTTATGATTTAATACCAACACCCTTATAATTAAATGCGCACTCTTACATTTAATACCCTTATATGTTATTACCAACACCCTTATATTTAATTATATATAATACCCTTATGATTTAATACCAACACCCTTATAATTAAATGCGCACTCTCACATTTAATACCCTTATAACTAAATGCGCACTCTTACATTTAATACCCTTATATTTATTTAAACTCAATACCCTTATATGTTATTACCAGCACCCTTATAATCAAATGCGCACTCTACCCTTATATTTAAATATATAAGTCTTATATTTAATTGCACCACATTAGAGTCTTATAGTCAATACCCTTATATTTAATTACATTAAATGCGCACTCACATCATCACCACCTTTATGATTTAATACCAACACCCTTATGATTTAATACCAACACCCTTATGATTTAATATCAACACCCTTATGATTCAATACCAACACCCTTATGATTTAATACCAACACCCTTATATTTAATTACATTAAATGCGCACTCACATCATCACTACCCTTATAATTTAATACCAACACCCTTATCATTTAATACCAACAGCCTTATCATTAATTATAAGACCGTTATAATTTTATAATTAAATGCGCACTCTTACATTTGATACCCTTATCATTTAATACCAACACCCTTATAATTAATCTCACCACCCTTACAATTAATCTCACCACCCTTATAATTTAATACCAACACCCTTATATATTAATACCAGCACCCTTATAAATTTGTATTCAAAAGTGTATAAGACCCTTATAACCAACTTATGATTTAAT